AACTTGATAAAGGACATCTACAAAAAACCCACATGATCATCTCAATAAACTCACTTTTTCATGATAAACATACTCAACAAACTCAGAATAGAAGGAAAATTCTTCAACTTGATAAAGGACATCTACAAAAAACCCACAGCTAACATCATATTTAATGGCGAAATACTAAATGCTTTCCCCTTAAGATCAAGGACAAGACAAGGATGTCTGCTCTTGCCACTTCTATCCAACACTGTACTAGAGATTCTAGCCAAGGCGGTTAGGCAAGAAAAAGAAATAAAAGGCATCCACATTGGAAAGAAAGAAGTAAAAACAAACATAGGAAAGCTAATGAATGAGTATGGCTATCAAGGCAGTCAATGGCTGTGGGGGATACAGCAAGTTCAGGGACTTGATTTCTGATTGGCTTCCACTTCCCTATGAACAAGGTCATCACCCGATCAAGAGGAACCGCTGTGAGTTGAAATTACCCTTCATGGAAAATGGGAGATGGCTGTCTAAAGACATATGTTTGTTATAAACGACAGAGCAGGCACTCTAGCCTAGATGAAAAAGAAGCAAAAACAAGAGAGCTGTTAACAGAGTCAAGATGCAGGAGGTCAAGAGTCTAGATGTACCAATGAATGAAAGAACAGGTTTAACTGGAATAGGAAGAAGAGAGCTATAAGGACAGAAGGCTATACTTGGAGTCTATAACACTAGGGTGATGACAAGATCCTAGGTGTGACCACTGATGAGGTAGCAAGAATTGAATGGAGGTTAGAGTGTTAAATAGGTTAAATATTTAATCCATCATTAAATAGACTCAGACTATACCTACTGGAAACGGAGAAAATACACAGCTACATAATAAAAGCAATAATAAAAGCAATCACTCCTTACAGCACTGACTGTTTCTTATACAAGTAAATGCTGAAACAAGCCCTTCTAGGCTTCCCATATGCTCCATGGCCTTCAACACTTTAAGACACCTCAGCCCCACTTCAACAGCTCATCAGTCCCATGATCCTGTCAGTCTAATAGAATATCACATACAGATTTCTTTCCATCACCACTGAACTGAGTAAAGATTTGGAAAAAACAGCATTAGAAACAGGTTGGAAAAAACTTTTTATTCTGAGCCTATAATCTTCTATAATCTGTTAATATACTTTATTTTAATTTTTTTTTTTTTTTTTAAAGATGACTGGTAAGGGGATCTTAACCCTTGACTTGGTATTGTCAACACCACGCTCTCAAGTGAGCCAACCGGCCATCCCTATAAAGGGATCCAAACCCGTGGCCTTGGTGTTATCAGCACCATACTCTCCCAAGTGAGTCACAGGCTGGCCCTTATTTTAATTAATTAAAGAATACTTGCAAAATACGGTACTTTCCAGTCCATCTTTTGAGGCTTTCTCTAAAACACCATTTGCTGATATTAAAAGGGTTATATGATGTATCATCATTATCATCTTTCTTTTGGCAACTGGTTAGTATGGGGATCAGAGCCTTTGACCTTGGTGTTATCAACACCATGCTCTACCCAACTGAGCTAACTGGCCAGCTCTACATCATCATCTTAATTACACATATGTTAGTTGGTGAGGAAGAAAAATAAATAAATCTACCTTGGTGGGAGAAAATTTATGAAACCCTAAGATTTCTGAAGGCTAATTATAAAGCTAATCTAAACATTTAATAATCTTTGACTTATCAATTCAATAAATATTTATTTTACATCTCAATTTCTAGGCACTACTCTAAAATAGTGAGGATATAGTGGTAAAAAATTAAAGTCTTACCTTCATAGAACTTACATTTTAAAATACAGGTATATAATTTCAGGTAGTACTAAGGGCTGTGGCAATGGGATGGAGTACTTGGAGAGTTAGGCTGCTCTAGCTCAAGTGGCCTTGCACTGATATCTCCATGCCTCATTTGATACCTATGCTGTTCCACCAAATTATTACTAAGGTTTTAGCCCAGGTCATAAATAAGACTCAGCCGAAAACAAACTTATAAAAATAAAAAAGTAATGATAGCACCCTATCATGTGTTCTTCCCATGTATTCCATAGCAACCCTATCATAACTCATTTTTCAGTTTCTTATATTTCATGATACAGACTGAGTTCTTTACAGTTCCCAGTTATGAACTACCATATACCACATTTACACTATGTAAGTACCTATGCTTAAAGTACTATATTTCTATGACCTTGAGTTACTTCATACATTTTTTTATAAAAATTTTTGTCCTCTACTGTTAGACTTAGGACATTTTACTGTCATAGCTACTAAAACCAAACTAGAAAAGTAAATTTATATATACAAAATTCTTTGATCTTGACATTAACTTGTAAGCAAACAAGCACTATACCATATTCGTTTTCTGCTGAAATTATTAATTAATCTTGACATCCAAATATAGGTTCCGAGATCTGCATCACCCATTCACTAAAAAAATGTTTTTGCCAGTATTATGAATGAAGAAATCTTTAAAGCTCAACCACCTCAATCTCTCTTACTGCACTGTAACAAAGTTTTTTCAGGCAGGGAGGGATGGAGGTAGGAAAAGTAGGAGCAATCAGCACTGGAGGAGGTCAGTTAAACAGAACAAAAGTCAATGATTTACTCAAAAGTAATCTGGAATTCTTTAGTTCAAGCACCTCCCTGGAATTCTCCATAAGGCTTCAGAAGACTCCAAACTCAGATTTAAGAAGCACTCATCAATCTGATAACCCTGTTCTTAAGAAGTTTAATTCAGGATGAAAAAAATCAATGTCTCGAGGGGCAGATCAGGAAAAAAAATCGTCTCATGTAGTAACATGATTTACTATCATTCCTTCAATTAATCTACTCAAGTTCTATTGAAATAGTACTGCATTACTACTAAAAAAGTGTCACTTTAAACTTCCTTGAAAAATAACATTCTAAAAAAGGCATTAATGTTGGGCCCAATCTTTCTCTTCTATTACAAGACCCTATTGCAGTGGTCCCTATACCTAATGTGATGGATGGTCCTTTTATTTATTTCCTTAAGTAAAATAAATAAAAGGCCTTATGCCTTTCCTAACTACTCCCTGCCTTTTCCAATGACTCTTTAAAAAGAAACCTTGATCACTGCTTTAATCAATTCAATACTCACGTCTTGATTATATTCCAAGAAGACATGGAAATTTAAATCTTTTCTCAAAATAGGATGTGCTGCCACACGACAGAGGAACACTTCATGCATTGCAACTGTCTTCTTGAATATTGCCAAATACTCACTAGAAACAATACACAAAATTAAAGGTCAGAAACTTCATCGACTAGAAAATTACCTACAACAAAATTTTTCAGCAAATACTCTTTGGATTATTCCAAATGCAAAATTAGAGATACGAAGATATAATTCATGTAAAAAACAGTTTTAGTTGAATAGTTAATTAAATATAAAACCCAACTCTAAAAAAAGACTTCATGCTAGTTAACAGTATTTATTATATCTAAATGTTAATTTTTTTTTTTTTTTTTTAAAGATGACCGGTAAGGGGATCTTAACCCTTGACTTGGTGTTGTCAGCACCACGCTCAGCCAGTGAGCAAACCGGCCATCCCTATATGGGATCCGAACCCACGGCCTTGGTGTTATCAGCACCGCACTCTACCGAGTGAGCCATGGGCCGGCCCCAAAATGTTAATATTTTTAAGTTCTATGAACTTTTCTTACTATGCACGTTGATGTTAAAGGTAACTATAGTGATGCTTGTTTTCAGCTCCAAAGAAAGCATACAAATTATTTGATACAAACTTAATGATTCCATTTCTATATAATTACTACTTTTAAACACCCTAGTACAAAAAATATCAAAACCCAAGCCTCAATAAGCATATTTTCAACATTAATAATTATTTTCATCTAATGACCCAAACACAAGAAAGAAATACACCATAGAGATTCATTTTTGCCATTACACTGAAGAAATGTATTTTAAATATTTTAATATCATCAGTGAATCCCAGTGACCATATAATAATACATGTCAGTTTAGGGGAAAAAAAAAAAAAACACTCAAGGAAAAGGCCCTGTATTCTTGCTTCAACTACGTGCAAGAAGGGTAAGTTTTACGTACCAGTAAATCAGCAGGACCAATGTTGGGAGAAGTTTGATCTCTGTGAGGGTAGTCATTCAGTGAAGACAAAAAAGAAGGATGCAGAGGATGGAGGTAGCAGTAGAATAAACCCAAGGTTCTCTGTTATCCAACCCCTAACCAGACCACAAAAGAATCATGATCAGGGCCACTGGAAAATCACAGATTCTACTATATTAATGTGTTCTGCTAAATTCCAGTTTTCAATCTTTAAGTATATATTTGTCTGCTATCACACTACTGCTTGCATCCAGTACTGACAGAATTCTTAAAATATCTGTCATCTTACACTTTGACAAAGAAGACCTATTTTGCTAATTCATCTTTTCAAAAGAGTTTAGCATTCTCAAGAAAAGTCTGGTAGCAGTATGAATAACACACTTAAAAACTGAAACTGAGTAAAAGAGGAGAAAAGGAAATGCATGAAGGGGAAAAATAACCAGAAAAAGAATGATGGAGGTTATGATAAGGCAAGGAAAATTATTTCCTTGTACAATTCTCAAAATACAGAGAAACAGTTCATAGTAAATCCAAAAATTACTTCGAATATTTATTAAGAGGGGAAAGATTCTGTATTTTCAGCAAATATACTAAAAATGAAATAAAAATTATCACAATTTTTCAAGGATTTAATACATTTCTAATAAATGTGAAACTAACAGTCATTTAATGAAAAACAATTTTTAACTATTCTCTAGTTACTTTGCTCCTATTCTTTTCCCTTTGGCCAGAAGCCACAGGTAGAGAAAAGAGGGAAAAATCACATATACACACACACACACTTTTTAAAAAAGAAAACAATATACACAAAGAGTTGCTAAGCACATTCCTCTATGATAAAAGAAGTTTTAGTAGTATGCACATGTTCGAAAAAAGATAACCATGTTGATAATGACTAAGGCCCTGTAAATAAAAAAAAAATTAACATTCTGTTTTAAAAAACTCATGTTCCCTTTCTATTATTTTTTTATAAGCTTATGGATCCTTTGTTTTCAATTTTCAGAGTGTATTTAAAATATCAATTTAAAGCATTTACAATGTAGATAATTATTCTATAATTTTCCTGTAGGCTCTGATCATGATCGTTAACACTGGATGTGTGACCTTAACATGCATCTTCCAGAAAGGGTCACTACGGTGAAACAATTAAAAGGATGATATCAGAGAGCACGAAAAAAGGTTTTAAAACAAGCACAATTAACAAGATCAACAACAACAAAAAATCACATACGCTTCTAGTTCCTGTTTCATCTTTGTGAATTCTTCCTTCGTCATCGATCCCTCTCCTTCTCCAAGCTTCTGTAGTTTTTCCCTTGAAGCATCAAAGTCAGGTCTTGGTGGTGCTGGTGGGATCTATAACAGAACCAAATCACTAATTTTAAAGAATTATTTCATTTCTTGCAGCATTGTACTACCATCACCATAAGACCGTGTCTGGGAAAGTTAAAGGTGTCCTGAAAGAACTGAGCAACAGGAACACCCAAACCCAGATTAGAGAACCTGAATAGTTCTAGAAATTAAGATTTTTGAGGTCCTTTACACCAAAGTAGAAATACAGCATGGGGCTACTTTCTGGTTCTAGAACAGTAGTTCTCAAAGTTCAATCTGCGGACTCCTACATGGCAACCCAGAGTCCTCACATTCATATGCACACTAAGCTTTGACTATAGATTGAATGAATACATAGAGCAAACATGCATACCATTTTTTCGAAAGTACGTAAGTGGTATAATTAAATGCAAATGTATTTTTAAAAATTAATGAATTCATAGTAGCTTTATGCTATTGAATTTTATTAATTAATAAAAACTAAAAATACAATCCAGCAAGGGATGTTAAAAAGGGTCCTGGATTAAAGCAGTGTGCCAGAAGCAGAAAGAACTGCTTTAAAAAAGAGAACAAGACACAGATTAATGACTAACCTCATTCTATTCATTCCATAGTCAGGGAGTAAGGATGTACTTAACCTTAAATAAAAATACAACATCTAGAAGATATATATCACTCAAGGGAAGGATATAAAAAAAAATTATCTTAGGAGGAAGGGCCTACAAGTAAGAATCATCAAGGGAAAAATGATGGAAAATTAAAGAGAGCAAGTGAGATAAAAGGAAGAAAAGTTAAAATAAGAATGATTACAAGAGGGCCGGCCCGTGGCTCACTCGGTAGAGTGCGGTGCTGATAACACCAAGGCCACGGGTTTGGATCCCATATAGGGATGGCCGGTTCGCTCACTGGCTGAGCGTGGTGCTGACAACACCAAGTCAAGGGTTAAGATCCCCTTACCGGTCATCTTTTAAAAAAAAAAAAAAGGAAAGCCACCCTCTGTTGAAGGAGGCACCATAAGTGAAACCTGTTTTCCAATTTGATCTAGGTAGGGATTGGGAAATCAGGTCCTTGAAATCCATTTATCTAGACTTTAGTGGCTTAGTCTTTCTCAGGCTAACAGAGTCAATGATAGTAGCTACTTCGTAGGGTTATTCTAAGGATGGAAATGAACTAATGTAGAGCCACTCAAAGTTGTTATATTTGTTATACTGGTGTATGATGGGATGAATATAAAGGTTGAGAGTCAGGGTTAGAGAATTTTATAGCTATTTCACAGAGTAATTTTATGTCAGTCAAATCTAATAAAAATTTAGGCTTGTAGTTTTTGTCTTTCCTTACATTTTTCTAACATTTCATTTAATTATATTTGAGTCAGAAAGCATCAAGTACAGTTTAGTACACATTCACTGAGTATCTACTATGTGCAAGGCACAACACTGAGCACTGGGTATATAAATATAAATAAGACATGGTTTTAGACTTTGAGGAGTATTTACTTTATGGAAGGAGAATACAAGAACATACCAACTGTGAACGTTAATTGTAGGTGTCAACTTGGTTAGATAAAGGAATGCTGAAAAACCTGATAAAACTATCTTTTTAGGTGTGTCCATGAGGGTGTTTCCAGCAGAGATTAGTTTGAGAGTCTGAGTAGACTGGGTGGGAAAGACCCACCCTCAACATGGGTGGGAACCATCCAATCCGCTGCGGGTCCAGAGAGAACAAAGGAAAAAGGTAAAGCTCTCTCTCTCTATCTGCTGGAGCTGGGATACACTCCTCTCTCCTGCCCTTGGTCATCAGAGCTTGCGACTCTTCAGCTTTTGGATTCCAGGACTTACACCAAGGACACCATCAGCTTCCCTGGTTTTGAGGCCTTCAGACTTGGACTGAGCCACACTACCAGCATCCAGTTTATAGACGGCCGACTGTGGGACTTTTCTTCACAATTGCGTGAGTTAATTCCCCTAATAAATCCCTCTCATATATTTATAACATATTCTATTGATTCTGTCTCGCTGGAGAACCCTAATACATCATCATATAAGAAGGTAGGGAGGGAAAAAGGGCAGAAACAGAATGGGAAAAGAAAAATGCACTATTATTCGTTCATGAAAATCTGAACTGTAGGAAAAAAAGGAAACAAATGACTGAAAAGGAGTGCTGACCACAAGGATGGAGATGGAATCAGGTCACAATAATTTCAAGGAAACCAAGTGAAACTAAATTTCAGCAATCTGAGTGTGGTCAACAGCTGAGGCAGAATAACCATCTATTTCAACATCTGGTGCATATTTCAATATGGGTTCAAAATCAGTATGGTTTATAACATGCCCTTAATCCCTAAGACAAGCCTGCTTCAATTTTAACAAACAATACAAATGTAAGCTTAAACGAAGGAGTTTAACATCTTTATGCCCCTAAACTAGACAACTCAGGATAAAAGGTGGTAGCCAAGTATGTTTTATAACTGGCAATTTTAAAAATCACGTAAGTTCAGGGCAGTCAGCTCAGTTGGTTACAGCATGGTGCTGATAACACCAAAGTCCAGGGTACGATTCCTGTGCTGGCCAACCAAAAAAAAAAAAAAAAAATCACACAAGTTCACTAGAAATGCTAAACAAGGTCCCAACACATAATAGAGTACCTAAAAAGCTTCTAGAAAATGGAATGAAAATGGAACTTCAATACTTACAATGTAACCTGCATAATCTTCATTTTCAACGAAGGAATCGTGAAGCCAAATAAATTCCTCATGTTGTCGAACAACAGAAAACTCATTTTGTTTAAAATTTGGCAGTGAACTCTGCAAAGATAGAGATTCTCTTGAATAAAAGTCAAAATTACACTAAAAAAGCTTTTAAATAAACATTTTATATCTTATTTTTTATTTTATTTATTTTTTTAAAAGATTGACTGGTAAGGGGATCTTAACCCTTGTCTTGGTGTTGTCAGCACAATGCTCTCCCAAGTGAGCTAACCAGCCATCCCCTATGTAGGGATCCGAACCCGTGGCCTTGGTGTTATCAGCACCACACTCTCCCAAGTGAGGAATGCAAAATTTTTTATACTCAATGATCTCAACCGTATTTTTTTTTTTGTAGTTGGCCAGCACTCAATCATATTTGTTTTTGGCAACTAGCCAGTAAGGAGATCTGAACCCTTAACCTTAAGGTTATAACACCACACACTAACCAAATGAGCCGATCAGCCAGCCCTCAACTGTATTTTTTTAAATGCACGCAAAAAAGACTTACAGGAAATACACCCAAATGTGTAAAGCAGTGGATTTTTTTACACATTCCTTCCTTCTCCCAATTTTCCACGACACACATGAATTACTTTAATAAACAGAAAAAAAGTAAATAAACAGAAATCCTGAGACTTATTAAATGATGAATTTTATAAAGTTTCTTACTAAGTGGAATTATTTAACTTTAGCAGTAGTGAGAAAAATAACTTACACTTTATATTTCATTTGGCACAACTGGCTCTTAAATGAGTAAATACACATTTTAAAAATAAACACCATTACTTAAAATACACGATTTTTCAGAATTAATCACTTTAAATTGCTGTGATACTCTATATGATGGCCTTTAACAGAAATCGTACTGATGGGCTGACCTGTGGCTCACTTGGGAGAGTGTGGTGCTGATAACAGGAAGGCCACAGGTTCAGATCCCTATATAGGGATAGCCGGTTAGCTCATTTGGGAGAGCGTGGGGCTGACAACACCAAGTCAAGGGTTAAGATCTCCTTACCAGTCATCTTTAAAAAAAAAAAAA